ATGCAGCAGGCAGCTCTGAAACACAAGCAGGCTGGAATGTTTTAGCTCTGCAAAAGGACTGAAGCAAGAGAAAAACACACTAAATTAAAAATAAATACAACAAAAACCTAAATAAAGCACCACACACCTTGTTTGGAGCAACTACCCTCTCACTGATTAAAATGACAGTGATGGCATAAAGGAATGTTGAGAACTTCATTATTAGATGACGCTCAGCAAAACGGACAGTCTAGCTTGATTGGTAAAGCTAAATTTTCTCCAAAAAAGTTTCTCAAACAATTTCTTATCAGCCGTTTCGATTCAGGAATCACAGGAGTTGAACATCTGAGCGGGATAATGATTTTGGCTAATTTAAGTAGAGTTACCCAATTATTTTAAATTAGCCACAGAGTTCTTATCACCCCTCATTTGTGGGGGAAAAAGATGTAGGGTAAATGTTCCACATTAGGTTGACGCCACGATGACAAAGCACGCCTATGAGTCATATGATATATTTACCAACTGCACAAATGCAATCTTTGATTTAACCTGATTGTAAACAGTGACATCAGGGTAATTCAAGTAGGGCTACAGCATGACGAGCACAAGAACATCAAAACGAGTAAAAGGATAGCACCAAATGCTGTCACTGTGATAAAGTCATCACCAATTTATTTATGGTAAAAAAAAAGAAAAGAAACAAAATAATGAAGCAAAGACATTAAAAAATAGTGTTTATTTTCCCGAGTTTAGCTGTAAGGTTTGGGTTAGCCTTAATCATAATCCAAGGGGATTATGGCTGAGAATTCTCACCCCCTATAGCCCTTAGTTGGTTTTTGGGCAAGAACTTCCATCAAATCATTTGGAAAAATCATTGCTACAAATCACATGTAAGGCATTTATAACACAAGACGTATCCTCCCTCTGCCTGTTGGGTACGTTTGTTTAGGAACAACCATAGTGTCAGAATTAGATCCGTTTCATATCTGTGACTATTTTAAACATTTCAAAAGTCTAAATGTTCAAGAGAATTTCGATTTAATACGGCCAGATTTCCAGCTGCCACTAACATTCAGCTTTACTTTGATTAACAATCTTTGATTCTCACTGGTGGCTCATGCTTCTCTGGTAATCCACTGTGATGTTAATGTCAAGGATAAGACCTCTTTTGTTTTGCATTTTGACTCAGGAAGTTAGCAAACCACAGCTGTTGCATGAGACGCGTGCGTTTCCTGTGACAAGATACGTTTCAAACTCAAGAAGCATGTTAGGAACCAGTTGCAGTGACTTCTAGGTCAAAGGGTTTCACAGAGAAATAGATCAACTTAAAACTCGAAAAGGGACAACTATTTGAAGATCAGTTATAAGTGTGCAAACATTTAGCATATTTCTTCAATATTCAGATGGCTGATCATGTTTTGGACAAAAAAATGTCAATTTAATAAACTAGGGATTTAGAGTAGGATGAACCAATGCAACATTGGCCTTTGCTGAACTTGAGCTATGTATGTCGCCCTATTCTGTGCAGATGGTTGAGCTTTTTCTGAATTATGGATCCAGAGGTGCTGGAGAGTAGCCTGATAGTAAAAGCCCTTTAAGCAAGTTTCCCCTGCAAGGCAAATGAGGTGATGGGTTCATCTATACATCTTCCTTGAATGAGAAAAACATGATAATACAGTGAGGAATCTGATGTCTACATTAAGTGACTGTCTCTATTTGTGCGTGTGTGTGTGTGTGTGTGTGTGTGTGTGTGTGGTATCATGGCTGTGTCATTAGTGAATCCCAGCAGTCATGTAGAGAACAAAAGTGCAGGATCCTCTGGGGATTCCAGTAAAGCCACTGAAGCTAGTTGGTGAAACTAGTCAGTGACTCAATGCAATCTGCTGAGTTCCTTGTATAGGAAACTTAAAGAGCAAGTCACCCCCTACCAGAGTCCAACTCAACTCCCACTTCATGTTTGGAAAATGCAACAAATGCTGTTTCCAGGCAGACCGAGAGGGCGGAGCCGCTAACAAATACACACACACACACAGGCCCACGACAGCATTGTGACATCATAATGTACCAGTTTACATCATAGCATACCTCTTAGCCAATAGCGGTGGCAGCTTTAAATTAAGAAACACTGCAGAGTTTTTACCTGACAACGGCACAACACTGACAGTTTTAGGCAGAATATTTAAATTTTAACTAAGATGCACTGAAGTGCCAAATTATTGACTACACATGTCTGCAGCACGATTAGACACTCGTTTATTTAGTTTATCAGCAAAAAAAGTTGAATTGGGGGTGACTTGCTCTTTAACTAAACTCCTTACACTCCAGAACAAGCCATTAAGAGACTGAGAGACATCAGACAATAGCACAGAGTAATGATAATGGATTACTGATGATATTATGGTTCAATTAGAACTCAAAACAACATCTTCTGGTCTACTGTTGGAACTGTTCTAATCTGTGTGTTTAAATCTCTTGCATGTCCATCAAGTATGGGGAACTGCTCAAACTCCATTATACACACAAAAAATTCTAACTAAATATTATTTCTAAAGGAATTCAAGTGGCTGTATTCATTGTTGTCGCTTGCAATTTCTAGTTTTTTTTTTTTCAAAACCCAAAGGAGAATGGAAGCAGAAAGTGCTGAAACCTCAACTAAACTCACATTTCTTTCTCATGGGTGGATGTTTATAGATGTGGTTCAAATTCAAGGAAAATTATTCAAACAGAATCCAGCAGAAGTTACCAAAACCAGGCTCTGTAAAATGTGACCGTCATAAATAAAAATACATTTCCCTCGACTGGTTGGGCAGCTTGCTGTAGTTCACGGTGCTCTGTCTGCCCTGTCCCTATCTGCCACCCACAGTGACAGCAGACAGTGAAAACATCAAAACGACCTGCTTTCCTCAACGCCGCTTTCGGAACAACAGGTGTCTGAACCAAGGGTGAATTATCTGTTCAGTTATCAACACACACACACACAGCCACACACCAACACACATTGTTGTCTTGTTAAACTTGAGAACATCATTCATTGACCTCCATTCATTTTAGTGTCTGCATGCCTAACCCTATCCTAACCCAACCTTTCCACCAGATGTGTGAGCGGCGTGTAACGTAACAGACGTATATCACCCGCGAGCTCCCTTCCCATTGGGAGCATTTCAGATGTTAAACAGGAGCAAAAGAATTACACGCAGCTGGGTCCACAACTTAAGAAATCATGGGACAATTGCAAGACCATGCGTGATTTCAGAAGTTCATGTGCTAAGCAAAGAGACAGGCGGCAGGATGTATAGAGGTTTTCTGTTCTGTTTCAGCTGCGGAGGTTTTACAGGAAATGAATATTTTTTTAATAGTTAAGCAACTGGATATCTGCATGTGACTTTTATTTTTTAACCCTAACCCTATTCTGATCTAAACTTGATGCGTTCTGGAAACATCTAGAACGTCTATCTAAAAGGAGTCTCAGAGCATTGGCAACCACTCCCCACGCTTCTGGGACGCGTCCAAAACAGGAAGCTTAGCGACTGTTAGAAAGGCACCATCCACTGTAACAGCGGCTATTAGCTGGGAAGTACATTTCACTGACGTTTGCAACGCTTACGCGTCCGGTGAAAAAGGATGGGTAATCCTAACTAAACATTAATTCACACCAGCCATAAAAGTTGGTCTTCACGTGTATTTATATCCATGCCAACACTCACCAGACCTGTCAATGAAAAGATCCTGATACATTTAGAATTTTTTTTGTAGAGTCAGAAGGACGGATGTAAGCAGAGCTTTATTGTTTACAGCTTCCTACCTTGTTGACATTATTTTGAGGGTTAAAACACCACCAAACATAGAAAACACGCAGCAGAAGAGGAGAGACGGGAAACAGTCAACACAGGAAACAGGCAAACACTGTGTCTAAACATATGAAACTGAAAAGAGCATGGGCCAACAGATCGTGATGTGCAAAAACAAGTCAAGAGTCCAACTCGTGCCACAGCACAATAATCACTTGTGACAGTCATGTTATTTTACGCGTGTTTTAAGCTCCTCCTGCTTTCCAGTTTGGCTCACATTTAATCCCAAAGCCTCTTACTAATTGTCTTTGTTTTCAGGACATTTGTGTTCATTTAGCTTTATTTGCAGCTCCAGCTCATCACCGCGGATCCGCTTTTACACATTAAAATGCAGCCGCGGACCAGAATGTGGTGGGATTTGGTGTCGCTGAAGGCTCGAAATGTAATTTTAAAAAGTGGAACAATCACCAAGAGACTGCAGAGGCAGGTAGGGTCGACAGAGGACACTTTTAAGCCCTCCATTAAGCCCCTTTGCAACGCCCCAGGGAGCTTTGTGGGAGCGGGGAAAAGTGTGAGTTGCAAAATGCAGCTGTTTCTGTGTGAATGCATGCATGTGTGTGTGTGTGTGTGTGTGTGTGTGTGTGTGTGTGTGTGTGTGTGTGTGTGTGTGTGTGTGTGTGCACGCGCTCCAGTGTGTGTTTGTGGCAAAGTGTGTCTTCTGATGATTAGCTGAAACTGTAACTGACACAATGTTGGCCCTGGTGATCCTATCAGAGGGAGGGAAACTCAGCATAGCATCAGGGACATGCTGTACACAGCTTGGGTATCTTTCTTATGCAGGAATTGCTAAAGAAATACCCAACTGTTGGTATCAGTCGGCCTTCAGAGGAACCTTGACAATGAACAGAATTCCATACTTATTATACCAAGCATTAGTGGCCTGATAATGGTGACAATCACAAGAAAACCTCAGCATCATCGCTGCAGTAAACAGTCAACAAGTATTCTCTGTTTTGAAAACCAATCTTTTGTATCCTTTAAGTAAACGCAAACCTTAAATGAGATGAATATCTGCACTCATTTAAAGCTCTACTAGCATTAAAATATAAAGAAAAAACTCAGAAACGGCCAAGAAGAAAATGAAATTTCAGTCAGATTCAGTTTTTTGAATGTATCAAAGATCTACTGTTAGAAGGTCTAACTTGTAGTATGTGGTAGTATGTCTATTCTTACCGTGCTGTAGCCAGCGGGTTCTTGTCCATCTGTGATAAGTACCCGCTCTCCTTTGGGGTTTACCCTCCTAAACCGCCGTCTGGAACGCCTTTCGGACCTCTCTCTCAGCAGGAAGCTGTCGTCCCCCTCGCTGCCGTTTTCCACCTGCAATACACAGTCGAAACTCTCCTCAGAACGGAAAGGTCTTTTGGTTTTGCACCCGCAAACCTCGGGAACGGGGAGACAGCTGTATGACCGGTCCACACAGTTTGAGACTTGAGAGCACGGCTCAGAGCAGCTGCGCTTCAGTAGTTCAGATTTTTGGATCACAGGAACCACATCTAGATTTGTAAAACCCAGGTCCTGTTTGTCATTTTCTGATTTCTGATTCCCACAATCCACGTTTTGGGTCTCAGCTCCTGTTGGACTCTGATGATCTGGACTGCTATCCTTGATTGCATTCCCTTCCTTTATACGTGGCTCTTCTTTGCATCCCGGAGCTTCTGGGATGTGGTTCTGCTCTTCAGCTGGCTCCTGGTTGAACATCCAGTTCTTCCAGAGCGCAGAGAGCCGGTGCCAACGGAGCACACTCATCCGGACTCACAGGCGGGATCAGAAAAGCATAAAAGCAGGAAATACCACAAGGGTGATGGTACAAAACAATGAGAAAACACTTCTATACAGGCGATGACTGAAAATGTATGCTCTGGATGTTTTAAAAGAAGTATCCAGAGGGATCCCCCGACATTACATCCTGATGAGAAATAATCCAGAATTACAGAAAAGTTCCTTAAAAGTGATCCGTCTGTTTCTGGTACGAACTTGGCAGGAAAAGTCAGACCGAAGAGTTCAAGGCAGAGTTCAGCTGCTCAACATGAGGTATACTGACAGACTTGCCTTGTATCGCTGTCTGACACACACACACACACACACACACACACACACACACACACACACACACACACACACACACACACTGAGCATACGTTCAACCCACAGCTTCCTCCAGGAAGCCGTAAATACACAAATATCCTCAGCAGCCAGAAAAAAGGCGGCTCGGAGCACAGATTCCTGCCGTACAATCCATTCCCTGCAGACTTTTTGTGCTGGTTGGTTGTTGAAGGAAGTTTTTGTTTTCTCCTCCATTACATAACAAGTTAATAACTCGATTATGTCATTAGGAACAAAACTGTTTGCAGCAAAAAAGTTACTAAACCAACAGCTTAGATGTTTCATAACACTTTATGTTTTACGTATTCGATTTTAACACATACTCCATTTGATTTTACATTTAGTTTTTAATTTTTCTGTATTGTTATCAAACGGCACAAAGAAAGTTCTAAGAGCGGATCGTTATTAGATAGACAAATTTTATCATTTAGAATTATCCTTTTGAATTAGTCAATACATGTAATTCCAGTCAATTGTAATTTAAGTGGATTTGAATGAAAAATATTAAAGTTCAAAATGTAAATTTAAATTATTTAATTTAACTTAATTGTGTTTAAATTGGTCTAGTTTGCTGTTGGTGCCCAGAGATAACTTTTGTTAGGGATCCGATACCCAAGAAATGCATTAAGAAAAAGGGAGAACACACCAGAGTTGTCCTTTTGTTTTGTTTTTTATCATTAATGCATATCTTTCTTTCGGTATTTATGTAATTTCTTTAGTTTATTTTCCATAAAACATCACTTATTTAGGAAGTACATTAATAAGAAACATGTTAACATTGAGAATAAATGTTAAATTAGCATTGCCGCTCATTTCAAATCGTTTACTCAGTGCGCGGTGGTTCTGAGCAACAAGAATGGCTCGGCAAATGACGGTCAGCAGCAGGGTGGGTCACTTCTATCTACAAAACACCTGCAGTTCTGCTGCATCTGTAAAGTTATTAAGTTGGCACATAAACACATGTTTGTAACATTTCTTTGCTGTTTGTTTAATAAATACACCCATAATACTAACATTGTGTCCCTCTCGAGGCGGCAGCTATGCTCTGTGATAGCCAACAGCTACATGTTAAGGTATGAATATCCAGGTTACCTTAAATTGTGGGACTGTACGGCGCTGTTGTCTGTGACACAAAGAATACTGATGTACAAGAACTTGTTGAATTTAAAACTAAGTCACTGTTTATCTGTGTTAAAATCCCTTTTTGAGGATGAATTTAAAAAGTAATGTTTTATATGCTTAAATCTGATGTTTCCCACCAGATTTCGATCAGCTCAAAATCACAAGATCGGACCCGATTTACGATCACGTGATCGGATCGGAGCATCACTAACTTTTGTTATGAATTGATGCTACATTTAGTACATGAAGTAAATCTAGCAGAATTAGAGCTACTGCTTCTAATCTTATTTCAACAAATTTGCTTGGTGCCATTTTTGCCATGAACGCCAGTTGACTGCCAACAGTTTGTTTAAAATTGTGGTTCTGGTATGCCAATGAAGTCCAAAATGCCCAAATGTCCAAAGTGCGGCCCCTAACCCAATCCCAGTAGGCTGCTGATAACATTAAACACTTTTTAACATATTACTGTCACACCTTGTTCTGTCTCCCCGTCCTGTTCAGTCATGTGTCCCTGTTAATTGCTCCCACCTGCCTCTCGTTTTCCAATCATCCAAGCTCCCAGCCCTCATGTATTTTAACCCTCTCAGTTCTGTGTGTTTTGTCAGTTCATTGTGTCGTTGTCCTGCGTATCTCATTAAAACCCTTTGAATGTTCTGGTCATTCTGCCTGCCTGCCTGCTTCCCCTGTATTGGGATGCTCACCCCTGCTCCACTCACCGGCACACCGTGACAACGATGTTCAGAGTTTTACTAATATAAATCCTATTTTGAGCAGAACATTTCTAAAAGCACCATAAAATGGCTTTTGAATTTTGCATTTACAACAAAAATAAAACTTTGATGCAATAAAGGCTTCCTAATGTGCTTTGCTAGTCTGCGAAACATTTAAATGTCAGGCAGAATTGTGTTTTCTGCAACCCAACGTCTTCAGAATGTGTCAAACTTAAATCTAACGACAATAAAAACCATCCTAAGGAAGTTAGTCAGATTAAGGGCAGCGTTATTGGAAATTAATACAAAGCAAAGTAAGAAAAAAACATTTAAATCCTGCATAAGTATTGCATTAATTGTGAAGTGTCAGCATGTTTTAGTTTTAACCTCAACCTTCGTCTTTGCGCGCACAGAAGAAAACTGTTAAAAATGTTTTACATTTGAGCTCCATTGTTTTTTTTTTCAGTACTTCCACATGTTTTGTTTTGCACACCTTACATATTCCTTCTCTGCTCGTTTTTCTTTAAATCTCTTATTTTTACAAGTATTTGTTAACATTATGTGAAACGTTTGAGGGTATTCTTCATCATCATCCCTTTAGCTCAAAATAAAACCTTTGTTAGATTAGTTCAAGTGCATGTCTGATAATAAACTTCAGTTCTTTGATTTTGCTCCCTTAAGCTGACAATGTGATAGAGGCACTCAGTGCTGGAGATTAAGCTTCTGTCACAATGAATTTACACCATAAACAAGTTCTTTGTTAGGAACTGTGGCATATTGCCTCCTTAGGTCAGTCATGTGCATTCATACGCCTCCTACGTAAGGACTCATGATGGGGTCACTGTGTTGTGTTAAACCACCGGGAGTTACGACAAATTTGCTAATCGATAAGAAGAAAGAGAGAAACAAGATCAAAGATTTTCTGTCACTGCTAAAATGGGACTCAGTAACAGCTAGAAGTAAAACAAACCACAACAAAAACACTATTTGAGAGTTTTGCTACATTACACACCAGCTCCGACGCTGTGTGATTTAGGAACAATGTTTTTGGAAACAACTGAGTGAGGAGCGTTTCTATACGTCACTAAATAACAGCTGTAAAAGGGTGCGTGATTGTATCGACGTGTCTCCCTTCACAAGAAAAAATGTCATCTTGTTTTTAATGAGCCTCGTGAGACAGATGTCCTGAAGGTTAGCAGACAAGAAACTGTGGAGGTTAAATTGTGACATGCTTTAATGTTTACTCTAGTTTTTGTTCCATTTAGATATAAGCCCCATCTACTCTGTGGCTGCCAGAAAATGGACCAAATTTCCTGTTTTCTCCACATTTACAGAAACGTGGGTGAATTACTTCACGTAGGCTCATCTGTCTGTTTACATTCCTCTCCCATCTGATAGTTGTCTAGTCAGCGTGCGTCACCTAGCCTTTTATATATATTGTTTCATATTCCCATCTTGAATTCTTTCCCATCCGTTCCCAACATGTCCACATAGAAACAATGTAAGCCTGTGAATGTTGCTCCTGTCCATCCTGTGACCAGAGTCTTGAAACAGCCACGGATCACATTCCCTCAGCTATTCCCATGGCCCCAATTTGCTGATTGGCTGCAGTACAGCATGACTAGACCACAGTTCTCCTGCGTATAACTACACCCATGCTCGTGTGCATTTGACATGCATTGTTCCATCTTAGCATTTTGTCTAATATGATCTCTTGTTTTTAATCAGAATCAGAAGGGTTTTATTGCCATAGGTGTGAGAAATTGCATTAGGAAATTACAAAACAATGCTCACAGAAATGAACTGTTGAAGAAGTCCTTCACATCTATTTGAACACATTTGCAGTGGTCTACAGTAGGAATGAATGCCTTGTAAGTTGGGTAAAAAAGCTCCAGTGCAATTGTTTCAGCACAGAGGATTCAGCCAGAGGAGAAAGTAGCTTCAGATTGCAGGGGGTCCCCACAATTTGGTCTATGCTAAGGTTGAGAGGTTACCAACAATACATCAGTGAAAATTACTTTAATAAAATCCCAATAACACACCCAATAGCATAATCAAAACTGAATGTCTTCACAAAGTTTAAAGATTAAAGTGACTATGTGTATTTTCCCTGGCAATACGGAGCAGTACACACCTAAATCATTGAAAGCAACCAGTATTTTTGTGTTCTAGTCAGACCTTACCAACGGATGGCCATTAGGGTCAAGAATCCCTAGGAGCAAAATGACAAGCACATCAAAGACTCCCTTTCATCACTGGCAACAAGTGAAGGGGTAAATTTGTAAAACAAAAACATTTATAAATGGAGAAAGTTTCATAACTGTTTATTACAAATCAGTAAATACATTTTGTCCACACGGGATCCTGTAGACATGGCATCTA